CCCGGTTTATTTTTGGGGGCCGAGCTAACCAGCGTTGTAGCTAGACAGGATTTCGGTATTTTGAGTTGATTCAGCTCTCTGAGGTAACTGATGATGAGTTTGATGTCTAAATAACAAAACGACTCTCCAGGGTCTGGATCACTTCGATCACTGGCTAGTAAAACCAAGTACCTACTGCTTGATGTAATTGGTACCCAACTACACATTTCAATCACTCAGAAGGAAGTATATTACGTGATACCATCTTGGTGCAGTTCACTTTTCGTTCCTCGATAATATTTATTGTATTATACTGGGGGAGGGGAGTGTAATTCAAATATTTTCATGTTAATCATAGGGGCATTGTGTGCGTCGGTGGCAGAGCGGTTAGGACGCTCGCCGACCATGCATATGGTCCGGGGTTCGATCCCCGGCCACCGACGCACTCCTTTACCTTGCTAAGCCAGAAATAATGCTGGTAAAGAGGAAAGGTTGGACATGAGGCTGGCAACCCCATCCTGTAAAAAAATAAACACTGCTACAGAAACTTCAAGCCACTAGCTTGAAGCCCTATGTTCCACTGGGAACGTGAAGGAAAAAAAATAGGAGCATACTGTGTTAAGCAAATATGTGTTTTCTGTAGTTCTTTTTCTCTCTCTCTCCGTCAACAGGCTTTACAATTACTTAATAAAATAACTAATAATCATAAACATCTGAAACCAATTTGGTTAATAGAATTAAAGTTTAGACTATATGTGAATCAGCAGATAAGAAAATAATCAATCTGATTTTAATAAATAATAAGGAGAAGGATAAATTCATGCAGGTATTTTAATATAATCTAGGTAGTCAGTCGTTGTAAATGTATAAGCATATATTCATATCTTTGTAGGGATAGAAGGGAAGAAGAAGTAACTGTTGTCACTGTCAATTGGTAGGTGGTGAGTAGCTGTGAATCCAGGATGCGCATTTCGTCCTATTTGCGACTCGTCATCCGGATATACTGGTACTCCCCAATGAGTGAGTGATGGTGTTCCTACCGATTAGACCCGTTGCACAAAAGGTAGCTCTCGTAGTCCAAGTGATCTACCGGCATTTGAAACTACGGTCACTGGGTTCGAGCCTCGTTTGGAACACCATCACTCACTGGGGAATGCAAGCACATCCAGTTGACGAGTCTCAAGTAGGACGACATGTGTATTCTGGTTGACTTTGGTGATAGTCACCGCCCACCAATTTTCTTCAAGTCGAATAATCAGGCATCTCCGAAGCATCTGCACAAGGAATCGATATGTTAATGTGAGGTCGAGCACTTCGGTCCAATCATTCAATGGACGGGAAAATCTAAGTGAAATTAAAATAGATAATAGATTGTTGGGATTTTATTGCTAATTTTGAAACTAAGCTTAAAATATGCAATTATAACACAGTATGATAATTGGTATAGAACTATATACTATACTGATTGATTGATTAAGTGAGTAGTTGCACACCACTCAAGTCAACTAGTAGTGCTTGCTTACCAGCCAGATCATAGTGATGTAAACACGAGACAGCCGTTTTGCTTGTTTGATGCTGAGAGTTCATAAATGATGTAACTAGTTTGATTCGGCCCCCTTAGTTGAATCAGTTCAAACCACTTGATTTTTGGCTAGCAACTTCGTCGAACATGGGTGTCCAAACTAGAGCTCTGAAGTTTCTGTAGTAGTGGTTTTAATTTTACGGATTGGGATTGCTAGTCTCACCCCCCAACCGCCCTTTGCCAGCTAAGTGAGGTTTGGGAGTGCATTGGAAGAGATTGGACACCGGACCGGACCACCTGAGTGGCTGGCGAGCATTCTACCTCTACGCTACACATCTCAGTCTATTAGTAGTAGTATATAGTGGTCTTCTTGCTTACCGTTTATGGTGTCAAACAGATCTGAATAACTCGGTTTCCAATGGAAACTATGGTATGTATGGTGCAAATTGCTAACCACTTTACAAATCATGAATTTGACAATATGATAATGTTGTTGATGAAGATAATATTTGCAGTTATCCGGTATCAGAGGGAAAGATCACTATTCAAAGTTGGTGGTATTGAAGCTCATGATGAAAGGACACAGTATCTGCTGGATAATCTTTTCTTCTGGACGCACAGGTTTTCTTTAAGTTTATTTGTTTATGCCGACTACCTCAGGAGCTATCCTTAGCAATGGAAAGCTTACAAACAAAGAGAGAATGGAATGAATTAATGCTTTCTGTGCATTAAATGCAGCTTGTTTGGACGAAGGTATAGTTAGTATGCATCAGTTGATCACAGTTCAAACGAGCATCTTGATATTTACAAATATCCTTACTTATACAGTGCAGGAACGAGTACAACTTTATTAGATATCTTTGAGTGACTTGCCGAAATTTAAGTTTAAACTCTTAAAAGGCACAAGCACACTAATAATCACCTTGAAACTTTCAGTGAGAGCAGGCCAATGAATACCACTATATTCACTAAAAAAAATGTTGAGTGAACTGCAGTGATACTGCATAGCATATCCAGTTAGGAATAGATTAAGTTTAGTGTTAGAGGACCAAATTTACTTGTGTTAGCCAATTTGCTTATTCCAGTGGGTCATTGGTGCGTCCCTGCCTCCTTTGGGTATCATTATAAATTATTTAAATTAATCCCAGCGTGTTAAGAAAATCAAAACAAGATTTTTCTGAACGTTTCGCCGTGTAAGCCACAGCTTCTTCAGCAGATTTAAATAATTTATAATGAATCAATCTGACTCGGCGCTCAAATTATTCCAGGAAATTCGTAACACCTACGGTCTGGAAACCTATAATCCTTTGGGTATCGCCTAAAGTTGAATCTTGTCACTGATATTTAGAACTTTAAGAAAAAGTGCACCTGAATTCAGTTACTGGAAAGGATCTTTTCAAAAGAAAAGTATTACGAAGCAGTAAGACTGTTACAACGACACTAGACCATATAAATCTTGATTATGGGGATACTATTGGTATCATTTGTTTTTTCGTATTTCTAATGTTTTTTTGTGCGTTGGAGTTTCTGTAGCAGTTTGAATGGTTTTATGGGGCAGGGTCGTTAGCCTCACGCTCAGACCTCCCTCTTTTCCCTGCCTTGCGACCGGCTAGAAAACTAGCGAGCTAGTAAACTTGGCGTATCACGATAAGCATTTCCAACAAGTTACAGACCTTTATCAACTTCTGCCTTCGCTGACTGCATACTGAAGGTCAAATGACCAGACGGTCAGAAAGAATTACCGACAAGAAACTCTGACTAGCGACGAACCAATCAAGAGACTACTGCTCAAAAAATACATCGGAGAAAATGGAGATTGATCGGGCATACGTTGAGGAGGCCATTGCTCTTTAGGCCATCACTACGGTGGAATCCCAATGGGAAGTGACGAGTGTATCATCCTAGGGTGACATGAAAGAGATCGTGTGAGGTGGAGAAAGAGATGAGAGAGTTTGTTCAATTGTGAGCCCAACTGAAGAGGAATGCAGAAAACAGGACAAAGTGCAGATGTGTTGTTGAAGCCCTATGTCCCACTCGGAACGCAAGAGAATAATATTAATAATGGTATCATATTCAACTCATCGATATCTGTTAAATCAAGTGTCCAGTATTCAACAATATTATTATTAGTACTATTATTAAAACAAACTTGGTACATTATGGGGACCAAAACAGGCGCCACACAATATCTTATGGTTTGTTCAAAGGTAAGGATACTATTCGGACGCCAAAAGTGAAACAGGTGGTTGTCTTAATAGGGTAACCCTCTACCACGAACCTTTGACTTGAAGTTTGATTCACAAAACAGTGGACTAGTATCAGATAAAACGTTCACATGGATTCTGATAACCGAAACAACTTCATACACTATTCGATGTGTTAGTCTTCTGAAGCCCAGTGTACATCATAGAGTCGAAATCAAGATTTTTCAACTCTTCTATCAGTCTCGTGGAGTTTTATGAGCCAGAAACGTTTGCATTCTCTCTTTGATTTTTGTGAGAAACACTGGTGCTGTGCGGGGAGGTGTTATGAATAGGACTTACTTGGCGGAGTTTATGAACGTGTGCCTTTTTTGAGCAGGTTTCGAGAAGAAGAAGAAGATCAAAGTTTACCAATCCTTGGTCGTACCAAGTTGTTTATGGGGTGAGGTGGGGAAGTGTCAAACTCATTTCAAATCCCGGGCGCTCCACCTGTTTCATTCTAGGCGGTTGGGGGTGTGTGTGTGTGTGGTAGTATTGTGCTGAGAGAACTGACCACTAGCCAAAATTGGTAGACAGAAATTTACGTCAATGTTTATGTCCACAATATTGGTCGTGAGAAAAATAAGATACAAGGACTGATTCAACAACCAACCACAGCAGACTTTGCGTAGGCGGATACAATTAGCAGATAGATGATCTGACATTCAAGAAACAGCCACAAATAGATGAAAGATTAACGTTCAGCGAGAAACCACCAATCAGAAGACTTTATTTTTGTTTCCTTAAAATAATCTATAATAATGTACTTGAAATTAGTATACAATTGGTGGATGGTGGCTAGCAGTGGAATCCAGGATGCACATTTCGTCCTATTTGGGACTCGTCGGCTGGATGTACCTGCATTTCTCAGTGAGTGATGATGTTCCCACCGAGGCTCGAACCCACTGCCCATAGTTTCAAACGCCAAAGGGTTATCCACTAAACCACTTGGGCCACGAGAGCCACCTCTTTTGCAACGGGTCATATTAATGAAAATCTATAAATGTCTGTTGATTTCGTAAATAAACAATCTGTTGTCCTATCCCTTGTCTTCTGTTGTTACAATATCACACAGTCCTCATAAGGTAAGTATGGCCCACTGATTAGTGTTCTTGCTAACTGATTTCCGATAACTCAAAGAAGTGTGCAACGTTTTAGTGTTAGCGATATTTTCTTTTCTTTTCTTCATTAGCTATCTATCATGTTTGTCAAATATTTAAACACTTACTTGCTTTATTTTTCCACTCTTTTGTTTTCAGCGATGTATCACCGCTCTGATTGAAAGGGAATACATCAAACGAGACAGTAATGAACGCGATGCGTATGAATATCTTGCTTAAAACTCCTTTTTTTCTCTCTCTCTATGCATATACACATATACATAAAATACACACATACATCATATTTACTTTCAATGGGCTTTCCTGTAGCACACCTTTCCTTCACGATCTCATAATGATGAGGACGACGACGATGATAATAATGATGATTTTTAGTGTGTGAGTGTGTGTGTGTGTGTATGTATAACTTTGAGGCCTAATCTTATCAAACTGTTACTTTGTAAAGTACTTCACTAATGATGAAGTTATTTGCGCTTGTATTTAAACGAGAAAAAAAGTGGAGAAAAGAAGTAACCAATCCGTTTACAATGTGCTATTAACATTCTCATTTCTTTCTTTCTTTTTGTTTACTTTCTTATCACTCTACCTTCAACCGAAGGGAGTGTATAAGATCCAATCGCTCCAACTTTCGATTATTCGTACCATAAGGCGGCTACCTAACTAACCTATTTATAAGTTTTGTCTTCTTTTCTCCTCTGCATCGCTTCGCTTTTCAACGATTTGTGTAATCTAAGTACAGACATTGAGTGATACTGTCAGAGTCTCATGTAATTCCGCATCTTATTCAGGATACCGAAAATCAGTGCACTGTCCTTTCATTCTGTTTTTTAGCAGTATTGTCTCTATTTATATACATATATACACTCTGGAAATCCCTTGTTTACAAAAATACAGACATTTTACTGCACCGTAGCCCTGTCACATCTTTGTTCCTCTTTTTCTGAGTTGCTTTTCAGTGTATTTGCTTGTTTGTGTACGTGTGCGTCGATACCTAACTTCAGTTTCTTTAAATGTAATTTTCCTCTTTGCCTACTTCTTTCATCTTTGTACTGCGGTAAAGTCAATTGTGTTTGTTGGCGTTTTTTTGTTTGTTTGTCTGTCTATCTGTTCATGCATTCAGTCATTCATTTTTTTGTTTACTCGTATCCCACTGCCATTTTACCCGTTGCGTTGGTGGTTCAATTCAACAATGAAATGCTCGCCTGCCATGCGGGCGGTCAGACTTCAGTTTCTATGACTGACGCACTCCGCCGTCCTCTATGTGTGTTTTTCTAATAGACAATGGTTTTGAAATTCTTAAGAAAGCAAACGCAAATGGTATTACTCTACTCTGCTGTACTCCCTGATGCATACATAACCCCCCCTTTCCACCCCCACCCCCATTACCCTCAGTTTCAGTTACATTGTCGGGTTTTAATACTCAAATATCTTTTCACTTTCTGTGTGCGTATGTGTATGTATGTAATTTATGAATTTATTAATCATACATGTTTTCGTCATAATGATGGTTGTCTCTGATATCTTTGAAGGGGTTGTTAACACCTCTAAACACAAACTATACTTATAAACCACCACCCCATGATAGCATTTGTCTTTTGCACTACCTTTTCCCTTTTCTTCCTCTCCCTTTTTTGATGTTTTTGTGTGAACAAAACAAATGAAAATGCAGTTTGTTCTCACTCCCCTGTATCTCCGTGATGTGTATGCGTGTCTCTCTCTCTCCTTCCTTCTGTCTTTGTTAACATTTAGTCATTTGCAAGTCTTATTTTCTATAGTTTCGATACTTACAAATTACCATCTTAAAAAAAAACTGATGCAGAAGTATACATGATATGACACTGTTTATTATATCAATTAATCATTACAATTATTATTATTCTCATTTGTCCTGCATGTAAGTGATTTACTTTGGTAAATCTTCTTCTAATTGTCTTCCCTCGTCTTCCATCGCTTTTATTGATTGTTTTGCGTAGTTTTTCATTGGGTAGTAGTTGTCCGTGTTTATTGGGAATACTATTGGCTTCAGAGGTGGTAGCTGAATACCGGCCAACCAGTCAGTCAAATCATGCACGTGCTTTGAGGTTCGACTCCCCCGGCCAATACACTTCTAAACGACGCTGAGTCGATAGTAATTTCGGAGAAAGAGACAAGGTTTAGTGGGCGTGAGGCTAGGTAATCTTTGCTTCCTTGGAAGTTTACCACAAGAGTTAGTGAAACTTCAGCGACTTAGGTTCGCCTTAGAATGTATAACAATGAAAAAAGAAGGATATTACTTAGTTTTGTAAATGCTTAGTTTGTATTCGAATCAAACGTGATGTAATGCGGTTGTTTTTAGGTGACAATGATAGATTTCCACATACAGAGGTGCACACACAAATGATACATCTGCAATGGACGCGAAGGGTCGGATACGCACTGAGTGACATCTGGCACCAGGCGGTATCTATTATTGGTGAAAAAGGACGAGTTAGGCGTTTGAGGGTGACGTGGGTGACTGGTCACAGCTCCTTCGAATGTTTTCATGCGATTCTAGCGCTCCTTTCAAATGTGAGATGATAAGGCTACAGGACTGCAGTACATTAACTACTCCTAGCTTAAAGATAGGATGTGAACTGGTAGTGAGTGATGACTACTTCACCTACTTGGAGAGTCGCATCAGCCAACGCCAGCGGGTTGATAGCTGACGAAATCTCAGTACGGATACAGAAGGCTCATCTGGTATATGCCCACCATCTCTGGTGTAGAATTGATATTCGCCTGATTATCGACCAAAGGGCCTGTGTACTGCACAGCAGTCCGCTCCAATCATCCTTGATGGCTAGCTGTGAGACATGGTCATTGAAAGTGTAAGATATGAAGTTGTCTTTGATCATAGTTGTCTGCATTCTATCCCCCTGTGTGGTGATAAAATAGGTTGAGTGGTATTGGAGTTAGGCTTCAGTTAAGTGCTAGGCAAGGAAGGTAGACCAATTGACTAGGTTGTGAAGTTACGCCGATTGAAATTTTTAGGACACGCGCAGGCTTAGCCGTTGGTCGCCGTCCTCGACTGTCAATTTTAGCCGACATAGGATCAATTTGGGAAAGAGTTAGTGTTAGTCAACCCAAAAAAAAGGCTTCATCAGTCAATCTCTTTACCAGCTTTGTTACCGGCTTATCGAGGTAAGGGAGTACGTCGGTTGGAGATCGAACCGCGGACCATGTGCATGGTTGGCGAGCGTGCTATCCGCTATGCCACCGACGCACTACATGTTCACACTTCAGCAAATACCAAAGATATTTTCTGAAATTCAGTCATCAATGACTCCTTTTAAGATTTATTGGCGTTCTGTGCTATATTATGTTGAGAGATGGCTGCTAGCCAAATTGGTAGACAGTAATTTACGTCAATGCTTATGTCCCAAATATTAGTCATGTGAAAACTAGAACAAAAACTTTTTGATTGCACACTAGTCAGTAACTAGTGTAATGTGTCTAGTCCTATCTTCGGTTCAGGCTGAATTCTACCAGTCAAGCCTGCAAGATATGCCTTGCTGATGAGTGCCAACTATCAAGAAACCTAAGTCCAAGGCTTCCTGCCGATTGCCTCCAACCACGTAATAAGAACAAAGACTGGTAGCAGATTTTGTGTAGGCGGATACAATTAGCAGATAGATGATCTGACATTCAAGAAACAGTCACAAAGAGATGACAGATTAACTTTTAGTGAGAAACAACCAATCAGAAGACTGTGTTTATCCTGCTAACAATAATCTATAATAATGTACTTGAAAATCTATAAATATGTGTTGATTTCCTTAATAAACGGTCTGTTGCCTGACTCTTGCCTTCTGTCGTTACAATATTCTGCAAACACCAAAGTTTACGAATATATTCACGAACGATTCACTATCATTCTTCGATAGACTGACAAAAGTTATCAGAGTGTTATTTATTTTTAAGTAAGCCTTGAATGATAATATGTCCAAAACAAGTTCACTTTCAAAAGTTTGAAAAAACTGTCATTGGGTATATGATGCATGTATAAGTATTTCCCAATGAATGAATGAAAAACAAAACGATATTGTTGTTTTTACTGACGTTTCGTTATTTAATGCTGCTGCTAATAGCTTCATCAAAGTAGTATTATTAAACCAGAATTTGCAAAATCTCAGCTCACATATAACAACTTAATCATCGTTCCTCAGTATGGGGTCATTTTTCATTGTCAAATTGGCCAATTGGTAAAGATAACAAAACCAGGTATAGATTGTTGGATTTGATAAGTGTGTAAACGTATTAAAACAGTGTGTGTTTACATAGTGAAATTCCTTATCACATTCGTGTTGATTTTGTCATTCCATGTGGGGAGAGGCGTGTGTTGTAATCAGATCAAATTCTGTTTTAGTCCATCATGATACTTTTGTAGTGCTAAAACGAGATCTACACAGTTTATTCCTGGAGAAAATAAACAGTCAATCTCCCAGAATCCAGTTCACTTCGGAAGCAGAATCAGACATCGGTGAATTACCATTCCTAGACTGCCTAGTTAAGAGGAGGGAGAACGGACATTTTAATTTATCTATATTCAGAAAGAAAACCCACTCCAACAGATCATCACACCCCATCAGCACAAAGGTATCAGTTGTTTCAATTCTCCCTAGACGAGCACACTCTTTGAGAACGAAAAAAGAAGAAGAAATATCAGACATTGATGAGACTCAAGCAAAACAACTACCCAAAGAACTTCATCAGCAAAATCAGCACCGACATTAGGTATAGTCGAAAACGTATTCCGAAGATGTGGGCCTCAACTGTTGTAATGTCATGTAGATCGGAGATGTCAGACGATATCAGAAGAGTACTCAATAAGTACGACATCAGAGTTTCCTTCCAAACATCAGACACACACTTCAAAGCAACCTTATCCACGTGAAAGACCAAATCCCTAAATAATCTCCATTTAATTGTGTCTATAATATAAAATGCTTGGAATGTGATGTGATATACATCGGAAAAACATCTCGAGAAATCAAAAGAAATGAACACCGTAGAGCCGCATCTGTTCGACCATCGAGAAATCCAGTTGAACTAGAAAAGCTTAAAGAAATCATCAGACATACATATACACACTATAGAATCAGGCCACAAAGTTGATCTAGACAATATTGAAATAATCCAGAAAAATTTCAGAAATCACAAAGAACGTCTAATATCAGAAGCCTCTCATATCAAGTGGAATCCAAATTGTCTGAATAGGAATGACGGAATTAAAACAGAATTTGACCTGGTTACAACAACTCTCCCCTCCTCCATGAAATGACGAAATCAACACGAATGTGATAAGGAATTTCATTACGTGAACACACACTGGTTTTATACTTTTACACACTTATCAAATCCAACAATCTACACCTGGTTTTGTTATCTTTACCAATTGGCCAATTTGACAATGAAAAATGACCCCATACTGAGGAACGATGATTAAGTTGTTATATGTGAGCTGAGATTTTGCAAATTCTGGTTTAATAATACTACTTTGATGAAGCTATTAGCAGCAGCATTAAATAACGAAACGTCAGTAAAAACAACAATATCGTTTTGTTTTTCATTCATTCGTTGGGAAATATAAAAAAAACATTTATTATAATGAGGCCTTGAAATAAGTCACAAGTCTCACACATTCATAAGAAGTTAAAGGCAGATTGTTGAATAGGAGTGTCGATGGTTCAATTGTAGAATGTTCACCGGTGACAACAACGTGGTTCGGAGTTCGACTTCTCGGCCGACATACTCTTAAACCTCGCTTTACTATATATATATATATATATATATATATATATATAATGTTACATTGCGTTCCAAGTGGGATATGAAGCTTCAAGTTTCAGCTTTGAAGTCTGAATAACCGTGTTATTGTATTACGGAGTGAAGTTACTAGCTTCATGCCTTACCTTCCCTCTTGACCAAAGTCTTTTGGTAGCGAGGTGACGTTTAATAATGCGTTGGCTGGGGGTTCTTTATGCTTAATGTCGCACAAACTCGAAGTTCTACAGAGGAGGACTCGGAAGTTGGCAGAAAAGGCAGAGAAGGTAAGACTTCAAATGATTAAAGTGAAGAATCGCTGTCAACGCGAGGGTAATCTGAAAGGAGTCACCTCTTTTACTTACCTAGGCAGGGTCATTTCAGCTACAGGCGGAACGGATGAAGATCGCAAAGCCGGCCAGGATTGAAGAAGTCAGCGAAAGACTTTCAATAGTCTGAAATCACTGTGGAAATCTGCATTTGACATAAAGAAAAAGCTGCATGTTTCAAAGGCTTGGTGCCTGCAGTTGACTTTTATCAACAGCTACCTTCTCTTCAGATTGGTGGTCGTCAGATAGGATAAGCGAAAGGGAAATTTTGGAAACGAACCAACCAATCACCTATCGCACAACAAATATGTAGGACAAAATGAAGATGGATTAGGCATTCGCTGAGTGACATCTTATGCCAGACAGACTCTCCAGTGGAATTGTGAAACGGGGAAGGCCGAGTTGCGTATCGGTCCAATGGTGATACAGAGGAGATGATCGTGTAAGGAGGTGGAGATGAAGGCCTGTGTGGGAATCGTGCAGCCAGCTAAAGAGGACAGCGAATAAAAAAAGGATAAAATGGGCATTTTCTGGTGAAGCCTTGTCTTTCATTCGGAATAATACCAACATGATGTGGCCTGACATTAATTTCGGCTATGCATAATATATGAAATTCGTGAATGATTTAATATTTTATATTTATTCTCTCACCTTTATTGCTGATAATTCTCATGATGAAGCTTCATTACAGTAGTCACTGATAGTAATTGGTTGTGTTTAGATTGCTAAGGATTTAAAAAAGAAAGTGTTATGTTGATAATCCCTAACCGCTTGAAATGAAGCTACTTCTGAGGAATGCATGAATATCACTAAGAGTAGAAGGTGACAATACCTACCATCACACTGCCGGATTGTTTAAACAACATAACTTCAAAAGCACTTACAGACATAATGGTTATTCACTTAACTAATGAAGTACACTGCATTTTTAGCATGTGGGGAAGGCTTATAGAATCAAGGCACCCCTAACAACTTACTCCTGTGTTATCAATTTAAAAAGAAGCCAAGACAACGGTTTGTGAAGAATAAGATGGTACTATTGTTTATTTTGTCGACTTCTTGTCAAGTTGCGTGCAGCTCGTAGATGTGACATGATTTCAGTTCACAAGAGACTCGGAAATTAATCAACAGTACCCCAGAGATTACACTTATGTAGCTTATATGCAGGAGATTCAAGTTTAAAGAGAAAGTAATTACTCGGATACACTGGAGAAGAGTTGTGTAATACTGACATGAGATGGGTAAGCTGCTGAGCTGAGTTCAACTCCAGCCATAGAAATAAAAGACAAGCAAAATTTTGCCGTAGCTGAGGGCCAAATGTTAAAGTCAAAAATTATGTAATCAAATAAAAAAGAGAGAGAGATGAAAGAGATCGAGTTACCAGGGCAAGGAAAGACTGATAACTACCTCTTTCTGAACAGGTAAATCAGGTTTCAGGCATTTAATAGCTATCACTTCGGCAAACTTGAAGAATATTAGATTATTTTGTGTATTGATAATTTTAAAAGATTTCATGATGTCCACCTACCCGTATGCATCTACGAGAAGCCTGGCAATAACACTATTGAAAGCGTTTGCGTTTCCTTAAGACGTAGGCTTTTTAGTACATATTCAGAAAGTGGAAGATGTGTCCTTCTTTCTGTCACCTAAATGTAACAATGATCTTCCTGATTGCAGTAGATTGGATAATGCGACAGACAGCGGGCTGGGCAATGAGGAAACAGGCATAAAATGGAATCACACGAAAGACTTGGAGGATCTGGACTTCGCCCGCGATGATATATGTCTGATTTCCCACAAACTAGAAGATATGCAAGTGAAAAGTAAAAAGCTGGCAGAAGAAGCATCAAAGATAGGACTTCAGGTGAACGTTGAGAAAACAGAGGTGATGAAGATTCCTGGCCAACACCACCAACAGCAACAACAACAACAGACAACAATCAGCCAGCACAAATGGGAGGAGCCTGAAAGAAACAACCTCCTTTACCTACCTGGGAAGCATCGTTTCAACTACAGGCGGATGGAACTGACGAGGACATCAAAGCCAGAATCGGAAAAGCAAGACAAGCTTTCATTACTCTCAAGTCTGTGTGGAGGTCAACAGCGCTCAGCATGAAGAATAAGATCCGGATTTTCAACTCCAATGTTAGGTCAGTGCTACTTACTGTACGGATGAGAGACTTGGCGCGTCACAAAGAGCACTTTAAATAAACTACAAACCTTCATTAACAGTTGTCTTCGCTCAATACTCAAGATCAGATGGCCAGGAAAGATCAGCAACAAAGATCTCTGAGAGCGAACCAATCAGGAACCGATTGTGAAACAAATAGGCAGGAAGAAATGCAGATGGATTGGCCATACGCTGAGGAAACCGTTAAGTGACATCGCTAGACAAGCCATTGCTCAAGTGGAACCCGAATGGGAAACGGCGAGTTGGTCGTCAGTGCAAGAGTGACTTGGAGGAGGTCATGTGAGGAGAAGATGAAAGCATGTGGGCAAACTTGGAGCGGGTGAAAAAGTTGGCAGAAAACAGAAGGCAATGGAGATGCGCAGCTGAAGCCCTATTTTCCTCTAGGAATTAAAGGATATAATTATAATACTAATAAATGTAACTGTTGCCGCAGATATGTACAAATTTGTATACTCAGAGCTAACATAGGGGTACCTGTCGATCTATGGCTGCAACAAACAGCATGTTTCTCGAT